TGACGTGTTAACTACTCTTGTAGAACTATGATAATTAATCATGAGATGAAGGAATCTTTTGAAGAAATAATTTAGGGTCGGAAAGGAAGGCGTTTAATTGTGGTACATTTTGCTGAGTTGCCAGGATGGAGCGTTGTTATGATAGCGCTGAACACAGTACTGGAAACTGTGTGACTGTGTGAATGAGCAGTTGTTAGATGCGACATCAAAAAGCAGGAAGAGTGGAAATGTTCGTAAAGATGTAAAGCATCTGGGCTTACCTTCTAGGGCTTTCATGTTGAACTTTATTTCTCAAATTTAAACCAACAACCCATATTATATTGTTCTTTAGGAAGTATAATGAGCACCATGTTTATTTTTTAAGATCAACTTTCTGGATTATTTTAAAAAATGGTCGAGTTCAATATTTGAAATTTAATTTATGTAAGAGATACTGTAGCTGTGATTTGTGATTTTGTGTTTTTTGTCATCTATGTTTTTACAGAATAATTATATTTCAAAAGTAATATGTACATACATTTCAAGATGAAAAGTTCTTTATAATTTATTTCATTCTTTTTTCTTTATTGTTTGTATTAATCATTATCCATAACAGACAGTTTTTCTTTAAAAAACATTTTTCTTATAAATGATTCTAACATGTTTACTGCATTTCAAGCAATAAGTAATCGTAAACGGATCATTCCCTCAAAGGCGATCGCGTGAACTTTTATGTTCTATTGTATAACTTTCACGTTGTGAATAAGGGATCACGAATCGCGAACTTTCTTCGATCTTTTCTTCGGCGTTTGAGGAATATTCTGTAAAAATCGCTCAAGATCCGAGTTCAGATGTTCTCGGTATTTGTTTCACTCAGGTCGTGGGACTTTGTGACCCGATGGTTGAAAATAGTTTTAGATTCCACCTTTCCCTTTTTTCCCTCTGAAATACGCGCGCGCGCGTGGAGGCTTGAGCGTCGGGCAGCCGACTAGACAAGAAAATCTCCTTTCAGGAATCGCCTGCCCCGCCCCGCCCCGCGCTCCGCTCCTGCCTGGCTCAATTTCCAGAGAATGCCGTGCTCTCTTCCGGATGCCCGCCGCGCCGAACGTCCCTCTCTTCTCTTCCCCTCACCCCCTCTGGCTCTCACCCCCTCACGCGCAAAACTCGTATTTCCTCTTTACACGGGCGAAGTACGCGAATGCCTATAATCGGAGTTTCTTGTTCTCTCTGTTCCAGGTGAGTGAGCGCTTCTACCGGCTTTGTCGGGGCGCACGTCGCGCGGCCTGCGTGTCAACGCGGAGTGAGTACGACGTGGTCCGCGGGACCTGAAAGCGTTGCGTCGACGCGTCGACAAGTTCCACCTGTGGAGTTCGCGGAAAACCCGAGCATGGGCAGGCCCTCAACAGTTGAATACGTTCGCGCACTGATGTGCAATAATTTGTACTCTTGTATTGTAATGCCACTCTTTAGTATTGTTGAAAAGACACGAGGAAAATTTTCATACCGGATTTATTTATCTAGAAGTTACAGATAAAAATTGCACCAGTTACCATTATTTACATACCCTCTTTAATTCATTAACTTGTGTGTTGCAATATATTATTGAGTTCTAAATTGAAGTCATAAGATATTTTCTTTCATTTATTGTATGTTTACAATCTTTCTTATTTATTGGAAATACTCGTTTTAGTTACAATTTTAAAATAATTGTTCTCAGAATTTATGTTGTGATCTTTGTAATTATTTTCAAAGCGCTGTCGAGTGTTTTGAATGCTTTTGAAGTTGAACTTCAAAATTCACTTGACTCATTTCAAATTATAATTAATCATATTCAAATTAATGAATATTATTTTTCTTGAAATCGCGTTTATAAAATCATTTCTTACACAAAGATTTTCAAGCCCAATGATACTTTTGAAGAATCCGGAGCCAAAAATAACCCCAATAACCATCTTGGAATTGAAAAGCTGTGTTACGCCTCTCGAGATGTTATACAGAAACAAGAGCAACATTGCCATTTTTGTTTATTTTATATGAAATTAAACGATATGGATGTTCTGTTCAAAAAGCGAAGACATTTTGTTACGTGTATACACTGAAATTAAATTAATAATTATTCTGCCCATTTTTGTTGAATAATTTTGTTTTTTTCAGATTATTAATTTAATTCAATTTGTATGGGTAGTTTGCCTGTAAAAATATTAAATAAATAACAAAGATTGAATATACTGGAATATGTCCTTCTCTTTGCAGCTATTTGTATGGTAATATCGCGTTTGTTTAGGAAAAACAAATAGAAACAATTAATAGAAGAATGTGAAATAACTCATCGAAAGTAAAATGTCAAACTAAGTGGACCGTCAATGATAGTATTTGTAAATTATAAATGACAACATGGATTCAAATGGAGTGGATATAATTGAAATGAATGGTATTAATATTAATGTTATTGGAGTTAATGTGTATGTATGATGTATTAGAATTGATGTCTCTTGTTATGTAAACTCCTGTGTATGAACTGGAAACTGACACATCCAAATGCTAGCAATTTACATTTTACTCCTACGAACGCTTCGAAGAATACTTGAAAAAACTATTGTTAAGATCGCTAACCAACGCTGCCAACATCGATATAATACTTTCCATTTTTGTTGATTGTTCAATTTAAGTGTCCCACAGGGATTTCATATACCGTTTGTTCCGTAACAATTGCTACATTAAAATCCGAACTTCCCATCCTTCCTGTTGATTCTGCGTCCAGTTTGTGGACGCGGTGGGACGAGTTAAAGCGTGCGTTCTGGTCGGCCGTTGTCGGCCGCGCGCGCGTGTTGCAGTCGGCGGCACGGACGGGTGGTACGCCTGGTGGGCTCTTCGCGCGGATGTCTCAATGCGCGCGCCGCGCCGCACCGCACCGCACCGCACCGCGCCGCGCCTAATGAGCGCCTGAGCGATTGTATGCAAATGCCTCCCTGGGCGGGGCAGACAGCGTCCGTCCCGCCTCCTCCCACCTGCCCCAACGACACCGGCCCCTGTCGCGCGAGCCAACTGCGGTGCACTCTGCGTGTTTGATTTCAGCCTGCATTCACGAAAATGTTTGATGATCATCAATGTCAGGGTCAGGGCTAAACAGTTGTTTCAATCTCAAGTTCGGACATTTCCCCATCATCTAATTGCTTCTGACTTAACACTAATTATTGGAAACCCTCAACTGTTTGCTTTTATTTTTTGGCTTTATAGAATTAGTTAATTGTTTGAAAAGTAATAATTTGCACGTTAAGTAATTAATTTTCAAGAAAAATCTCTTTATTCGGGTTGTTGTCATGATTAATATTATGATTTATATATTTGCTTTCTCGATAAATTTAATGAAAACCGAATCGAAAGCTACATTTCGTCTACGACTTCTACCTTCTATCTTTCTTTTGAGAAAAGTGAGGATTTCTAGATATCCTTTATGGCTATACTGAAACTTGAAAGTTGACAGTGAATAGGTTGACTGAGAAAGTTGACAGTGAATAGGCGCGAACGAATTATTTCATTTCATGTATAATTATTTTCGTATTAAATAGTATTGAAAGTGTGAAGTAAGTCACACACAGACGTAATCGGTACATGATATTTTAGTCATGACTCAGTTCTATATGCGCAATATTAGAACACAGTGACAAGTGAACAGAGAATTGCTCCCAATTTTAATAATGAACACACGTATTGCAGCTCAGTCTTTGTAGAATTCCGCCCTCCACTTTCGGTCAAGGCAAATTCTTTTGTTTCAGCTGCTGTCGTCACCGCTTCTCCTCCGCGCCCCGACCTTTCGTCAGTCAGCGCCCGCGCCTCGGATTCCTACATCGCGCGTCACTCCCGAATTTGTTCTTTTTTTTTTCTTTTTTCTTTTTTCTTTTCGCTTCCCTGCCGAGCAGCTGCACGTGACGCAACTTCTTTTTCGAGAACTGGGGCACCTCTCCTCATATATTACGGTGCCCGTATGAAAGATGGAAATACGGTTCGTGATCATCTCTGGGGAAAATCAAGCGTCGCGACCGTATTGAGACTGTAAGTGGGCGTAATTGATACTTCAGCGTGGGTAACGCGTGTTTTATAGAAGTGTTGACGGAGCGCGGATGCGCGCGTGTAATAACGGAGGCTGTCTCGTCATTTGCGATCGTTCCCTTATGGGGTTCTTGTTTGTGGGTGGCGCGTATGATCACGCGACGCGCATAAAAGTGCGCGCTCTCCGCACTGGGCTGTGCTAACTGCCAGGCGAGGCGGCGTAGTGGCGCGGGAATGTGGAGTTAACGAGCAGTGAGGATGTGGATAAGTTTCTATTAGTTCGCTGTTTTCCCTCGATTATGGTATTACTCTGCGTGAGCTATATTCATACTCATACGACTAATAGTTCTTAATTAAAGAGAAAAGGTAATATCTCTGGTAAGTTGGAAAGTCCCTATATACATTGAGAACTTGCGCTTAGAACCACAGATATTTTGTCATAAAATTTACCTGCCAGTATTTAAACATAAGAAACGACGTGTTGATAGCTGTATGAAAAGTGAATATGAATATTGAATGGAAACATAATTTGAACTCTCTCTCTTTCTACATATCTTACCCTGATTTCTTCTTCAAAGCGGCGGCACGATATGTCAATTGCCGCATTACATAGAAACGGGACCGTTAATGGAAACTGTTTTTTGTGGCAACTGTACATTTCTCATCTGTTAGCGCCTGTTTCGAACTTGAATAATGAAGCGGCATGGGGATATATCATTGTACATTTCAAAACCGTAGATCATACGTGAAGGAAAATTCAAAGTAACACCTTGGTTGCGTATTTGTATTCCCATTTACGCGTCTACAGCGTTGTGCCAGTAGCGTGTTTGTTTTCTGGAAGCAGCTTGCATGGCAAACTTTCAACTGGCAGGTCGCCTCCGGGCGCACCCACTCTCTTGAACTCGTCCGCGTACTCCCTCTCGACCACACACGCGCGCACTCGCACCTTCGCACGGTCGTCGGGGACGTACCTGGGTAGCTGTCGGCGTGCGAGCTGAAGAGCACGCACAGGCCGGTCTCGTAGTTGACCGACTGGCACGTGTCGTTGGCCTGGCAGGCCTCGAGGCAGTCGGTGAGCATGAGCGTGCCCGGCAGCGAGTCGAGCTGGTCGCCCGGTGCCGAGTAGACGAAGCCGGTGACGAGCTCGAAGCCGATCATGTCCGGGTCGCAGTCCTCGAGGCTCACGCCGCCCGCGCCCTCGCCCGTTGACGAGAAGTCGTCGGCCTCGGCGGAGGGCGTCTCGTCGGAGGCGGCGGCGCCGTCGGCGGCGTCGGCGGCGCGGGCCAGCCCCGCTGCGCCGCACAGGGCCAGCAGGGCAAGCAGCAGCCAGGCCGGGGGCGGGCGCGCGCCGCCGCCGCGGGAGGTCGAGCTCAGGCGCATGCTGCGGCCGGGGGTGGGGCTGGGGGTGGTCCCTGCGGTACTCTGCAAGGGAGACAACGGACACGTTGAACTGGAGAACTTGGACGATTACAAATACTTATTGTGCTAGGATAATGGCGGCGATTAATCTTTTATCATTACAATCAACTCAAACATCAGCCTCAAAATAATAAAATCCTGATCATATGCTAGAATATAAATTAATAATAAATTTATAAACAAAAATATACCTGCGATTTATCTACTATTTTCTCTGTAACAAATAGAATTCTTTTGTGCGCACCTTGCTAAGGAGAAGGGTTCGACATAAATAAGGAAATGTAAAGTTGGCCACACATCAAGTTCTGAGTGGGATCCTGATTGATGCTTTATAAACGGAAGGAATGTATCTGTAGCCATGGATGGAATTATTATGACGTGAGGTTTGAGAAACTGTTTTAAGATTTATTTTGTGTAGGCAGTATTATTTTTGTATTAGTTTTGGGTCATATTTTGCGTGCAAATGAAATTATTTGTTGATAAATCGTCTTATCTAAAACAAGTTTGTGTCGTTATCGATTTGAATGTATAATAATTATGATATTAAGCATCACTAGCGTATATTGGAGATGACAAGTTCGGTAACAAGATGACGCAGGATTGGAATATGTACTAATTGCATTAAACAGAATGATTGGCACCACTGACAAATGCGGCGCAGATAATTAGAACGTATCAAGTATCATTCACTGTAAATTCCAGTTGTCTATTTATGATAGACGGAATCAACAAATTGTTAGGGATTAATGTCTATAAAAACTTGTCTTCGAAATTGTCAGATGACAGCTACGCGAACAGGTTACATTAATTACCAACTGTACGTTTTGCGTACAATTTACATTTATAGAAAATGCAATTTTTCAAACTTAAATTAAGAGACATTAATATGTAAATGTGGTATACGAGTATATTTTACTAGCCATGATAATTCATTCTACGAGGCACATGGTACGACGCATGCACATTCAATTAATTTCTTCTTGCGAATTATCTACTTAGCGTTCTGATTAATGCGACAGTTTTCCAATTACAATTTCATTTGCTATTAATCTTTTGTTTATCTCGTATGTAATTAGGTCCTTTTCCAGTGTGAGATCAACTGGAGCCTGTTGTAGTGGCCATGGAAAGTCAATATGATTCTCATTTCTAATTAAACCCGTCTGATAGAAGCTATGTCTATTCGAATTGCATTAGAGTTGCACATCCTCTGTAAGGGCAGACGAGGAATGTGTGGGGCGAAACAACTGCTGTCTGAAAAGTATTTATGAATTGTGCATAGTGAAATTTAAATAAATCAACCATTATTGTTTATTTTATCTTTGGATTCACGTGGGCATCTCACAAAAAATAATTGCAAATCTTTTGAAAGGGAGAAAATATTGTTAGAAAAATAATCGGGATAAAATAATCTGGAGGGATGTTCCTGATGAGGAAATATATTCTGTAAAATAGGAGAAATAAATTTGAGGACTAACGTAGTTATTGGTTTTAGATTAACATTAAACATATTATTAGAAGTAAATTTTGAAATAGGTAGAAAACAGGCGAATAGCACTATCTGTAAGTAGAGTTAATCATACAATTTGTATGCAGGTCCGCAGATCAACCTAATACAAACTCCATGACATTCGAAGGTTCATATTCCTTCATATGTAAGTTCGTTTTAGAAAATAAAGTAACTGAACAGATAATTCTCCGCGAAAAAGATATTGAAAGAAGTATCGACAGATTATTACAGCAGCATTTAAGAACAATTACACAGAGATTCTGCAATTCTATCTTGAAATTTTAGTGAGTTAATGTTAGGCTTTTTGAGCTACATGGAAGTGGAACCTACATTCCCTATTCCAAAAATGTATGCCTGAAACAATAGATAGATTGATAAACGAAACCATGCGCGAGAACTTTCAAATATATAATCTCAAGAAAAAAAATAAAAATACAGAATGGAAATAAGTTTTAAAAATTTATCAAGAAAGCAATTATATTCGTATAAGCAATTCTTCTTCTATACACCTAAACAAGGAACCGTGGTAGATTCAAAATGATGAGATCATGTCGCCGAAAACCTGCATGCCTAATGCCTCCGGAAAAAAAAGTTGTCTTTTTTTTTTCTGTGTTGAAAGAAATGAGTTTAAAAACCTGTCCTGTGAATTCTGAACTGTCGTATTGCAGCTATTTCGTACTCGTCGTATCCTTCGCCAGGATAGATTTTTCTTACTCACTGCAACAATCATGTACTACAGCCTCTGAATTTTGAATCTATCTTCCTCTTTCCTGACATTACTTTATCCTTTTGTCTTATGGCAGTGAGATGTTGAGATGGTTTGCATCCCATTGAGATCTCTTGGTAAGTCATTACTGTCGGCATTCATTCGTTCGCCCATTTGTACACGTCGCATGGTGTTTTTACCTGCGTTGTTTCTTCCTCTCATTTTATCTAATAAGGTGCATTTCTTGACAGACATTGAGAAATTATCTTCCAGATCTTAAAAGCGTATTTTTTAATTTTTTTTATTTTCGATCATCTTGGAAATATATTTTCCTGATGTGAGATGCATCGACCTCTAAATGATGCAGTATACATTACAATGTCTTCTCGTCCTAGTTGGATTATTCCTTATCTATTTCAATTTGATGTGGCAGAACGAAAATGATCTTTGCAAGCTATTCGAGCCCAAGAGAAGATCCACGGGATTCCTCGTTGGTGCCGTAGTCTTCTCGTACCTGCAAACCTCGGCCGAGCGGCGGCCTTCAAGCGCTGCGACGCCGACGGCGACGGCCGCTAATGGTCCCCGGGTGCACCAGGAGCGCGACGAAAGTCCGGCGTTTCCTGTCCGCGTCCGGAACAATCGCGCGGCGGTGGGCGTGAACGGCGTCCGCGGCGTCGCCGACGACGCCGACGCCTTGGCGCGCGACCCCCGCCGGGACCCCTGCCGGCGGCGGCGGTGCAAACTCCGCCACTCGGCGCGCGGCGCGCCCTGCCGCCACCGCCGCCGCCGCCCCGTCAGCCTTTCAGCGCGTTTCCCGCGTATCATTTGTCAGAGTAACACCCGCGCCAACACTAGGTCTGTCCGGCGTTAACAATGGTCGCTCGCGCGGCAGACTAATGGTTCGCCTTTGTACCCTGCCTCCGCTGCCGTCGCCCCACAAGTACAGCCTCCACCGTCTCTTCCGCACCGGACGTGACTGCTGGATACACCTCTACAGTTTACATCCTCCCGCGCTCCGCCGTCCCCACTGTCGCCGCGCGTTTGGAGCGCTGAGCGCTGCAAATGCCGCCGACGTGGCAATGCTCGCGGGCCGGGGCGCGGGATGTAATGACCGTTGGAGAACCCCGCGCCGCACTTGGAAACAATGGCCTGCGGGCCGAGTGCGCCCAGCGCGGTTTGCGGCTTCCGCCGCCATTGTCGCGAAGACGCCATCCACCCGTCGGCCTTCCACTGCCCAGAAACTTCTTATCCATTTGCGCCAGACGAAAATCGGAGATCGGGGGTCCGCGGCGGCGGCGGGCGGCGGCAGCAGAAGAAAGAGGAGGAGAAGAGGGTGGGGATGGTGGGGGGGGGGGGGGGCAGGCGGATGTCCCGGGCTTGGAAAGTTGTGCGCAGGAGAGTTGTAATTC